TATTGCAGGTTGTTAATGAGTCTTCCTCCAATCCTGATGCCACATTTTTCTTCATATAACCCAGCTTCTCGGATTATTTGCTCAGCATACAGGTTGAGTAAGTATGGTGAAAGAATACAACCGTGTCGCACACCTTTCTTAATTTTAAACCATTCAGTGTTCCCATGTTCTGTTTGAACAACTGCTTCTGGGTACAGATTCCTCATGAGCACAATTAAGGGTTCCAGAATACTCAGACTTTACAATGGTGTCCAGAGCTTGTCATTGATAGGTGGGCTCCTAGTTAATGCATCAGATTATATCCTTTACTGTCCGTCTATATATATATATATATTTTTTTTTTTTTTTAATTGTGATTTGAGTACAACTTACAGAACAAGCTAGTGTTCCATTCAACAATTTATAACCATTTTGTTTTGTGGCATTAGTTTCCATTTCCTCAATGTAAGAGCACTCTTCCTACTTCCTCCTGCATTTCCATTCGTCCTTTCCTGTCCTTTTCTGCCTTCTGGGCTTTGTTATGCTTCTCTTTTGGTCTCCACAGATAGTTGTTCTAAGGAGTAGTTTCTTCATGGGTGTTCTTCGCTTTATAGTTGTTTAATGCTGTCAAGTCAGTTCTGACTCACAGCAACCCAGTATAAGGTTTCTTGTCCCTATATAATTTAATGCTCAGATTGTCTCAGGTACAGCCAGTAAGAGCCTGTTCAAGTTGACTCCGAAAACATTATATAGTTTTGAGTTCGTTTTTCAAATTAAGATCACTGTTAAATAGGTAGTTCTAAATATAAGGCAAATTATTTGCTGATATATTAGGGGGAACTCTTAGTCCTTGGAGAAGAGGAGGCTGTTGTTAAAGCCATCCAGTCGGTTTTAACTCATAGTGACCCTGTAGAGAGTTTCCGAGGAGTGACTGGTGGATTTGAACCATGGGTCTTGCAGTTAAGTGATTATCCTACGGCACCTCACTAGGACTCCAAAATGCCATCTACCATGAGTGGGGTTCAAACCCATGTGTGCATATGTCCATTGGATCTTTAGAGAAGGCTTCTTCTTGTTGTTGTATGCTGTTGAGTTGGTTCCAACTCATAGCATCCCTATATAGGGTTTCCCAGATGCCACTGGTGGTTTGAATTACTTGCAGTTCAAACCAACCTTGAGGCCAAGTGCTTATCCTATGGTGCCACACCAGGATTCTTTAGTAAGAATAAGTTAGGAAGTGGTTTACGCCTCTCTGCTGTTGAATGACATGAGGATCTCACATCCACCTCTTATTTTTATCCTGAAATTTCTCCTCTGTCTGTGGAAGAATTCCAGCTAGTGAAAGCTAGACTTGTGACCCGGGACCTGATGTTGGCAGAGACCAGGGAGCAGAAGCCTGGTCCTCCTTCACATGGAGCTGGCTGCCACATGTGGCCTGTGGTAGACAGTGAACAGGGAGAGACGAAAGCCATTGCTTCCTGGAAGGCTCACAATAGTTGTTTCTCTTTCTTTTAGGTTGGCTCCCATCATCTGAGACTCAACAGAGGCCTAGAAGCCAACGCTCCAGCTTTCGACCGGTAAGACTCTTTTGACACCAGAAACCTCTTCTCTTCAGGGTCTTCCTTCCATCACACAGCCACACAATAGGCAGCAAGTAGCGGTCTTTCAGCCCTCAGTCTTAACCTGCCTTTTACGTTAATCCTTATGCAAGAGCCTTTACAAAATGGGGTTTTTACTCTATATCACTATCCCCTAAAGTTGTGATCACAGAAAGCCCAGTCTGACACTGTGTCTGAGTTCTCTGGGGCTGATGTAACGGAAATACCACAGGTGGATGGCTATAACAAATGGAAATATATTCCTCACAGTGTAGAGGCAACAAGTCAGAATCCAGGGTGCCAGCTCTCGGGGACGGCTTTGTCTTTCTGTTGGTGCTGTGGGAAAATCCTTGTCTCCTTTCAACATCCCTTCCAGATCTTCATGTGTCTTGGTGTCACCCTTCCCCTGGGTCTTGGAGCTTCTCAGCATAGGGACCCCAGGGCCAAAGGACACACTCCATTCTGTCACTTCTGAGTGATAATCCCTTTTATATCTCAAAAGGAGTCCTGGTGTGGCACTGTAGGATAAGCACTGAACTGCTTTTACTGCAAGGTCGGCAGTTCAAACCTACCAGCAGCTCCTCGGAAACCTGCTACAAGGTTGCTATGAATCTGGAACCAACTTGATGGTACTAAACAACTACAACAACATATCTCAAAAAAGATTATGATTCAAGGTACACTGGAATCATACACTCATCTTATAGAGTGCATTCTGCCTCATTACCATAATAGCCTCATTAACATAATGACCTCTAATTCTGCTTCATTATTATCAGAGAGGGATAATTGCAGCAGATCATAACATGGAAGATAATTACCTCATACTGAGAACCACAGCCCAGCAAAGTTGGCACAAATTTTAGGGGGATAGAGTTCAACCCATAATGCTCTGTTAGAAGTAAAAACAAATAATTTCATGGTGGAACCAATTTTGTGACCCGGGAGCCATGCTCATATTCCTAATAGGATGTCACAGAATTCCAAATTACAAGGAGACCAGTGGAGATTTTAGTGGGTTGCAGGCACCAAGGTGGTGGGATCCAATAAAAGGGGGAGGAAAAAACGTTACAAGGGATCATCAAGCCACAAACTGTTTTTAACCTTGATCTCTAACCTAACAGTACCCACTAACTTCCTGGCCTATGTATGACTAAGAGACTCTTTTTAATGTCAGCAAGTCTAAAAGTATTTATTAGCATTTTGGGAGCTGTTGGGTCACTTCTGTATGTTTGTCTGTCCCTCTTAAGGTGACAAGTTATACCTTTATAGATTTATATAGAATTAGGAAAAATGGGATGAAGGTCTCAGCGATTGAATAAGGCCTGCTTTGAGAGTAAGTAAATTCGATTGAACTTGACTGATTGACTTCCACCTCATCTTGGTAACAGAATTCCAAGATAGTTGCAGGGCTTTAGCTTGAGGTATCATTACCAGTTCTATTTTGTAGCCTCAGATGGGTGGAAAGTATTTTGCCTTAGACAAACTGCGTAAACAGTCTCAAAAATGATCTTTTAACAAAGGATTCCTCACACGAGCTAACAAACAAATCCTGACTCTTAATCTTTTCGTGTGACAAGCAGTTAAATTTTGACAAGAAACTGAATTGCTTCAACAGAGTAGCAGTGAAGGTGGCAGGCCTGTGGTGGTTGTTAGGTGCCATCGAGTCAGTACTGACCCATAGCGACCTTAAGCACAGCAGAATGAAACACTGCCCGATCCTGGGCCAACCTCAGCAGTGTTACCACGCTTGACTCCATCGATGCTGCCACTTGGCCAATCCATCTTGTTTGGGATCCTCTTTTTCCCTGACCCTCCACCCATACTGATTTATTTTAAAATGGGGTTTTTTGATCTGGGACAGCTATTTTTTTATTCATGCTAAGAACCTTTAGGTTCTGTATGTGACATTAATCCATAAATATTCAGGTAATACTTAACAATTGTTTTATATAAGTACTTTCTTGTAATAAAGCTTCCTCAGTTTGTCCCAGCTAGTAAGGAATAATCTAATTATCGGGTATCATGTATAGTATATTTATAGCTGTTGACAGTGTTAACAAAAACAAAAAGCCAACTACTGTCATCAAATCTATTGTGACTCACAACGACTCCATTGGACAGAGTGGAGTTGTTCACTAGGGTTCTGAGGCTATAAATCTTTACGGAAGAATGCCTCATCTTTCTCCCATGGAATTGCTGGTAACTGTGGACCTTTTAGTTAATAGCTCAACACTTAACCCACCATGCCCCAAGGCTCCATTCACAACCTAAAACACAAAACCCACTGCCGTAACCTCGGCTACTTAAGACAGAGACATTGCCATGCTGCAATCAGTCTCAATGACTGGTAAGACTGAGGAATTCGCACTGACCACCTAAGACAGGCAGCGTCCCTTAAACAATCAATAAATAAAGAGGACTCAGATGCAGACAGTACAGACCCGGTCAGGAGGCCAAGCCCCTGTGGGCCCAAGCGTTGTTGACCGTCCAAACCATAGGCTCTGAGGATCAGACTCTAGCCACCTAGTAGACATAGCAAACTGTCCCTCATCTGATTATTCAGTAATGCTTGTTAGTAATCTCATACATGAGCCCTGGATATCCACAGACAAATGTAAAAACCTTCCCTAAAGCTGAGACTGTAAATTCCAAAAAGCCAAGTCCCCCCCATCCAAAAAAAAAAAAAAAAAAGCTAAAGAGGATAGAGAGAAACACTGTAAACTGATGATATATGGCGGGGATAATGATCAATGTAATGAAACAAGCTATATGAATGGTTGAATGTGAAGCTGATGATGTGCCCTGTAAACTTTCACTCAATGCAAAATAAAAACATTTAATTAAAAAAAAAAAACCCATATATAGATTTTCTGAGACTATAAATATTTATGGAATAAGACAGCTTCATCTTTCTCCCACGGAGCATCATTTGGGTTTGAACTGCCGACCTTGCAGTTAGCTGCCCAACGCTTCACCCACAGCGCTGCCATGGTTTCTTTGTCACAGTATTTCACTCACTCACCACCTTAGAGTGGATTCTGACTCATAACCACTCTCTATAGACTTTGAGTCTGTAAATCTTCACAGGAGCAGAAAGCCTCATCTTTCTTCTGTGGAGCGATGGGTGAGTTTGTATTGCCCACCTTTCGGTTAGCAGTCCAGTGCTTATTCTACAGTGCCACACCAGAACTTATTTTCACAGTGTGTAAAAAATGGGGTTTGGTGGTGTGGGTTCTGACTCATAGCGACCCTGTACAGGGTTTCCAAGGCTGTAAATCTTTATGAGAGCAGAAAGCCTCATCTTTCTCACACGTAACAGCTGGTAGTTTCAAACTCCCAACCTTGCGGTTCACAGTCCAATTCATAACCACTACACTACCAGAGCTGTTTAGTTGGTTCCAATTCATAGCAGCCTTGTATAGGGTTTCCAAGTAACAGCTGGTGGGTTTGAACCACTGACTTTATGGTTAGCAGTCCAGTGCTGATCCTACAGTGCCACACCAGGACTCCGTTTTACAGTATTTGTTTTTAAGAGCCATTAAGTCAGTTCAAGTCAGAGTAACCCTATATCGAGTTTCCGAGGAGTGGCTGGTGGTTTGAACCACTGACCTTGTTGTTAGAATCCAGTGCTTACCCTATAGCCCTATACCAGGACACAGTATAGAGAGGTATAAAGCAAAAAAGTACTCTAACTCCTAATTCTTATGTTTTGAGATTATTATTATAGGTAGGTTTTTTTTTTTTTTTTTTTAATGTATCATTACAGAAAATTGTTTGGCATATATAGTTCAGTTTTAAAAACACAAGTTAGATCATAACTTGTTTAAGAAAAGCCATTTTGAAGCTAAACTGTTAGTAACATGGACTTGAAATAACGAACGCCCACCCCAGTGCTGACAAGTCCATTTCGACTCATGGAGACTCTGAGTCTGCCCTGGAGAACTGCCCGCTAGGCTTTTCTGAGAGACCGTAAAACAGGAGCAGATGTTGTTGCTAGGTGTGGTTGCTAGGTGTTGTCCAGTCACATCCAACTCATAGTGGTCCTATCCACAACAGAAGGAAACACTGCCTGGTCCTAACCAACCTCACAGTTGTTATGTTTGAGCCCATTGGTGTTGCCACTGTGTTGTTCCAGCTCAACAAAAAAGGACCCTTCCTCTTTGGTTGACCCTTCGCTTTTCTAAGAAGGATGTCCTTCTCCAGGGACTGGTCCTTCCAGACAATGTGTCGGAAGTATGATAGACGAAGGCTTGCCATCCATGTTTCTAAGGGGTGTTCTGAATGTACTTTTTCCAAGACAGATTGGTTTGTTCTCATAGCAGTCCAGGATCCTTCCAGTTTGCCAACACCATAATTCAAATGAATTGATTCTTTGACAGTCTTTCTTATTCATTATCATCCAACCTTCACATGCATATTGTTGTTAGGTGCACTGAGTCGGTTCCTACTTACAGTGACCCTCTGCATAACAGAATAAAATACTGCCCAGTCCTGCAACACCCTCACAATTGAGGCCATTAGCTGTTGTAACTATGCGAATTCATTTTTTGGGGGTCCTTCTTCTTTTTTTGTTAATCCTCCACTTTTCCAAGCATGATGTCCTTCTCCATGGACTGGTCCCTCTTGATAATATGTATGAAATATAGAGTGGTGAAGTCTGGCCATCCTGGCTTCTAAACATTCTGGCTCTACTTCTGCCAACATAGATTTCTTTGTACTTTTGGCAGACCATACTCTGAATATTCTCCAATGCCATAACTCAAAGGCATCGATTCTTTTACAGTCTACCTTACTCACTGTCTAACTTTAACACGCGTGTAAGGCAATTGAAAATACCATGACTTAGGTCAGGTACACCTTAGTTCTCAAACTGACATTTTGCTCTTTGAACACTTTAAAGAGGTCTCTTGTGCAGCAGATTTTCCTAATGAAATACATTGTTTGATTTCTTGACTGCTGCTTCCATGAGTGTTGATAGTTGATCCAAGAAGAATGAAGTCCTTGACAACTTCAATCTTTTCTTCATTGATAAGAATGTTGTTTATTGGTCCAGTGGTGAGGATTTTTGTTTTCTTTACATTGAGATGCAATCCATATACCAAAGGCTGTGCTCTTTGATCTTCAAGTCCTTTTTGCTTCTAGCAAGCAAGGGTGTATCATCTGAATATCATAGGTTGTTAATGAGTCTTCCTCCAATCCTGATGTCACATTCTTCATATAATCCAGCTTCTTGGATTATTTGCTCAGCGTACAGATTGAGTAAGTATGGTGAAAGGATACAATCTTGGCACACACCTTTCCTGATTTTAAGTCATTCAGCATCCCCCTGCTTCGTTCTAATGACTGCCTCTTGGTCTGAGTACAACTTCCTTTTGAGCACAATGAAGCGTTCTGGAATACCCATTTCTCACAATGTCCCACCCAGTCGAATGCTTTTGCATTCAAAAAGCCCAAGTAAACATCTCTCTGGTAGTAATAGTGGATAGCCTCATCTTTCTCCCTGGCAACCGCTGGGTGGTTTAAAGCACCAACCTAGTGGCTAGCAGCCCAAACACTTAACTCATGGCACCACCAGGGCACCTGAAACAACTAATAACATAAAAAAATGTTTCTTTTAATGTAAATATGGAGTCCTGGTGTGGAGCTGTGGGATAAGTAAGCACTTTTGGCCGTAACATCGGTTTAAACCGCAAGGTCTCTAGTTTACGCTCACCGACCGCTTCTGGGAAACCCTATACCGAGTCGTTATGAGTTGGAACAGACTCAGTGGCACTAACAACAACAGATTTTAAAAGTTCTCTTCGTGAATGCAGTGAAAATTCTCAGTAGTAACTTTTTAGGTGCTTCAGTCTTTCTACCTGAAACATCCATAATTTGTACTTAACTTTGCTTCTTGTTAAGTGCACTTGAGTGGGTTCCAGCTCAGAGCTGATCCTACTACACTACAGATTTGTTTACCAACATACTAGTTTCAAGAGCCTGGGCTAGAAACCCTTCATTAGCATATTATGGATAATGGGCTTTTGCTGGGAAGCATTATAATATGTTAGGAGAATGCCTCTTTCAGGTATTATGGGTTTGCTCCTGGAAAAGGGCATTTTCATTAACAAATTACAATACTTTCCAGTAAAACCCCAATGTCTGTAATATGCTAATTAGGTGTCCTTAGAAGGTGTTCAAGAGCCCTGTGGTACTGTGGATACGCATTTCACTGCTAACCAAAAGATGGGTGGTTCAGACTCATTCACTAGAAGCTCCTTGGAAGAAAGGTGTGGCAGTCTGCATCCCTAAAGATGAACCTACCCACAACCATGGATTCCGACTCACAGGGACCCAGAGGACAGAGCAGAACTGCTCCCCGGGGTTTTTGAGATTGTAAATCTTTGTGGACGCAGATAGCATCATTTTTCTCCCTCAGAGCGATGGGTGGGCCTGTATCACTGACCTTGTGGTTAGCAGTCCAGCACTTAACCCATGGCATTACCAGGGTGCTTTTCTGTTAACAGCCTTCAAAGCTCTATGGGGAAGCTCTCTCCTTCAGGGTGGCCGAGTTGGAATCACCATTATAGCAGCAGGGATGGTTTACTAACCAAAGGTCCAGTTGTCTGACCCAGGTCTGATGGTGGCACTTTATATATATAAAGCCTGACACATCATTCATGTGGTATGAGAATTGTTTGGAAATTGGATTGCTGTGCATTACCCCTGACCTGCCTTGAATCAGACATTTGCTGCTGGACTTGTTCCTGGCAGCGGGCCATGCTGACCCTGAGGGTGGCTGGTAGGGTAGTTTCCACTTGACTCCAGGCTCTTCTTGCCCATGTTGGGTCTTGGGGAATGGCCTGTCCTGGATCTGCGTGCACCCCACTCTGCAGGGTGTGAGGCGGGCGGTCAGTCTGGGTTCCGGTGATGAGGCCACCTGCTCCTGCCCTTCCAGGCATATGGTACTTCTGAAAGAGCAGTACGGGAAGCAAGTGGTGGTAAACCTGCTGGGGAGCCGCGGCGGCGAGGAGGTGCTCAACAGAGCCTTCAAGGTAACATTCGTCCCATCCCGTCAGCCCATCTCTCCTGGTCTTTGAGGTGGGAGTGTGTGGAGAAGGGTGAAGCTGCTCACCTGCACAGGTCGGGCCCCAGGTGAGGGCTCTGGAGAACATGGCTGCTCTGCTGATGACATTTTTTCCCAGCAGCCCTGCAGCCAGTTACTACAGCAACATTTCGAAAGCTGGGGCTCCCAAAGTGTTAATTCTTTTAATGATGAATTGATGGTTGGAGACAGGCTCAACATCAAAGTAAAACCTTTCCCACCTCCTGCTGCAATGGGCCTTGAGATCTCTAGAGTGCTCTCATTCCCCTCCCCACCCACCATGCTTCATTCTGCAGGCCCCTCCCCCCTCCTCTCCTCCTGGGGGAGCCCCATGTATCCCTCTCGCATCCCTCTGGGGGATAGTGCACCCAGTAGACTGCTGCCTGGAAATTTATGATTGAGCCTCTGCTCGAAGCCCAGTTTTCCATGTTGTCCTGCTTCCATTCTCCTGGAGGCTGCTGGGAAAGCAGCTAACAGCCCTGTGGCTCCCTAGGCCTCGGGGGTACACAGGGCAAGTGACCCCTCCCTGCCGACTTTCCCCATTTGAGGGTCCAGACCTCCATGGTACCTGCTGCCTAGGTGCCTCGCCTACATAGTCACTCCCAGCCCACCTGTGCCCCACTTGTCACAGAAAAACTCTGGGTTTGGGTTTTTATTATGGTCAATATTCTCATAGATGCAACAGAACTTGTGTTTTCAAGATTCTGAACAGACTCACTTCAGTGATATTAACTTATGAGCATACAGTTGTTCCGCCATCCCCCTTGTTGCTAGGTGCCATCGAGTCAGCTCTAACACATAGTGACCCTCCATATACACAGGAGAACAAAACACCGTCCGACCCTGTACCCTCCTCCTGACCCTGGCTGTGTTTGAACCCATTGCTCTCACTGTGTCAGTCCAGATCCTGAGAACCGCCTTCTTTTTTGCTCTCTGTAGCGTAGTGGTTACGAATTGGGCTGAGAACCTTAACAGTCAGCAGTTCGAAACTACCAGCTGTTCCGTGGGAGAAAGATGAGGCTTTCTGCTCCCATAAAGATTTACAGCCTCAGAAACCCTGTACAGGGTCACTATGAGTCAGAACTGACTCAAACACACTTAACAACAACAATTTTACCAAAGGAGACACAATGGGTTAAGCATTAGTCTGCTAACCATAAGATCAGGGTGTTCAAACCCACCAGCTGCTCCACGGGACAAAGATTTGTAGGAAAATCTGTGCAGCTGTTCTTCTCTGCCCTGCAGGGTCGCTGTGTATGGGCATCAACTCCATGGCCCCAGGGGGCTACTTCACCAAGCATGATGTCCTTCTCCAGGAATTGGTGTCCCTCTTCATAACATATCCAGTCCCTGGACAGTCCCCAAACTTCCATCATCCTTAACAGGAAGCTCAGTGTTCCCTAAACAGTGAGTCCCCTTCCCTGCACCCAATCCTGGTAACCCATCAATGAACTTGCATCTGTCTCCAGTTCTCTGGTTAGTTGAGGCTCATGGGAGCCTCTTGTGAGGCAAGTTTGTGGACCAGCCTCCCCGGAAGGAGTGCCAATGTCAGCCTTGGCTAATGGGAGCCCAGGCCAGCTGAGTGTTTATCTCATCAGCTTAGAAAGCCCCTTCCTGGAACTCAAGTTTTGGGTTGCCAGTTTTATTTGGCCAGACCTGCTTTTCCTGTCTGCACTGTTGCTACTAGCAACAAGCTCACCAAGAATTTCCCACTTATCCATCTTGGCAGTGATGCTGCCTTCTTATTTTAAGGGGAGAAAAAAAAAAAAAGGAAAGACTAGCTGTACTAAGAATCCCAAACTTTTAAAAAGTCAAGAAATAAAGTGCCATTTTAGTTTTTCATTTAAAAAGAAGAAGAATCTAAGGTAAGGTGCGGTCTCCTCTCTGTGCCTTGAGTTATGAGAAGAGGGCACCTTCAGCACCACCTCTTGGCACAGGTGGAAATGCTCCCGAGGGCTGCAGTCCCCCTTGTAATAAGAGGAGGAGCTCCAGGTGTGACACTCAGCATGCGGTGTGTATGGGACTCCTGGTGGGTGAGGCCAGGTTGTAGGCCAGCGGTAGGTGAGAGTCAGCACAAAGATGCTGTCAGAACTCAGCAGACCTGGGTTCTACCTGCTGGGGCATCACACCATGACCCCTCAGCTCCCTGTGACAGATGACCTAGTAAGGGTCTTGACTGGGTCAGAGCGATTTGGAATGGGGTCTGCATCCCCTGGCAGCCAGCCAAATCACCTGGTGTTTTCAGTCTCCACTCGAGATGGTGGGTGCTTGCCGGGTGTCAATCAATTGTGCCTCCAGTTCAGTCGATTTTGTCATCAAAAGAGTTTCTAACGAAGGAGGCCATGGGATGATTCTAGCCTATCATTGGCAGTCACTTTGAGTGGACTGGACTACTCATTAGCACCTGTGACTGGACAGTTACTGGACTCAGTGGTGTGTGGTGTGGGACGGGCTCTGTGAAGGCCGACTGACCTGGGGAGGCATCTTGTTTGTTCTGAACCATGAGGCTTTTTGGTGAGAGCTGAGGTGATGCTGGGCCTCAGAAGCTTGGTGTGTGTGAAGAGAGGCAGTTGTGATGAGGATCGTGGAACCCCGTGTGGCTACTCCCTATACTCCCTCCTTCAGTTCATGGGCTGGGTCTAGATTAAACCCCAGCCCCCCCACCCCCTATTGCTGGGCCACACATCCTGCTCCTACCCAGAGGCCCTGCCAGACACCCTGACCACATCCATTACACACTTGTGCTTCAGTCAGGATGTGACCGGTTACCAGGGCGACCATGAGCTGGATTATGAGCTCCACAGCTAGCTTAGATGCTGTCAGACTTGGGGCCTGAAGCCCTGGGTTATGTGAGAACAGAGCCAGCCTCCCACCTCTGCCTCCCCAGATCCCCGAGGGTGTGATGTCGGCAGGAGCCCCTTCCACCTTGGTTTTGCCCTGGGTGGCCCTTCTGCCAGTCTGCAGGCAAGGTGCCCTCTGTGGCTTTGTCCCACATCCCTCATGTGTCTGTCTGGGGCGTGCCTTACAGAGTCGGGACCCTGAGCTGTAGAACAAGTCCAGACGCTCTAGCGAGAAGCCCAGTGTGGCGAGGCCTTCACCAGCTACTTGCCTCTCTCCTCCCCTCCCTTTTGCAGAAGTTACTCTGGGCTTCTTGCCACGGTGGTGACACACCTATGATCAATTTTGACTTCCATCAATTTGCCAAAGGCGGGAAGCTAGAAAAATTGGAGAACCTGCTAAGGCCTCAGTTGAAACTGCACTGGGATGAGTTTGATGTGTTCACCAAGGGCGAGAATGTGAGTCCACGGTGAGTCTACTGCAGGGGTTCCTCATCTTGGTGGCTGAGGGACCTGAGGAGCTGGGGGGAGGGGAGTTCCTGGTCTCTGACCCCTACAAAGTATGGCCTCATCAAAGATTGCCTCTTCTCTTTGTTACTGTAGATTCCTAGATTGTACACTGCATGATGTTGGCATTTTGGCTTCCAACTGCCTGTTTTCCCTTCCCATAATCAGAAACATGCTCCTTGATTATTCAACTAGGTAGTTAAACATGGTTGTTTGTCAAAAGAAGGTTTTTAATAAAAGGGACCATATTAAATGTAGAGCTCTGCACTCCAAATTGATTCTGACTCATGGTGAGCCTGTGTGTGTCAGAGTAGAACTGTGCCCCATGGGATTTTCAGCAGCTGAATTTCTGGAAGTAGACTTGTCAAGTCTTTCTTTTGAGGTGGCTCAGGCTGGACTGAAATTTTCAATCTTTCAGTTAGCAGCCAAGCACAGTAACTGCTTGTACCACCCAACGTAGAGCTAAGGTAATAATGGAACTTAGCATCAGTCTGGGGTACTTGTGAAAGTGTTAATCATTATCCTAAAACAGTGGGCATAAACTCAATTGTCCAAGGAGACCAGGCTGGGGGCTGCCAGCTCAGAGGTGAGGAGAGTGGATGGGAGCTGTCCCCTCATTGCTGAGGAGGAGGAGGAAGCCCCCTTCTCTCAGATCAGTACTCAGAGTGACAGGAAGCAGGCTGCTAAGGGTAGGCTTGGGTTTCCCCCCTGCCTACTAGCCATGGATCCATTGGACACATGGTGGCTGTTAGGGTCAGGGTCACTCTTGGATTCTGTCTCCTTGCTGTCTGTGGGGAAATCCACTCCATTGTACCTGGGCCACAGTGTTCCTCCTTCAGACATAGTCTTTTGTCATGGTCCTAGCTTTCAGAAAGGCACTCTGCGAATGAACTGTCTCGACTGCCTGGACCGAACCAACACTGTGCAGTGCTTCATCGGCCTCGAGGTCAGTGTCCACGGCCCCAGTCATCATGCTGGCGCAGTGCCTCAAGCAGTGTGAGGGGACATCACTGGGCCAACTCTGGGCTCTGAGGGAGGGGACAGAGCTGAGTTGAGGCCTCTCTGGGAAGCTGCCAAAATATACCTTTGCCCTGTCATGGGGAAACTCACTTGACACTTTTTTTGGATTGTTCCCTAGACATGGCGGCCCAGAGGTGACAGACAGTAGTCCTGTGTGATGATTGTTGGGAGCACACCACTGGATGGGGGCAGGCAGACTGCCTTAGAGAGGGGTTGAGTGAGGTCCAGGGGGGACTCTGAAGACCTGAGTCTGAGTGTGGCCTGGGCTGTCTCTCCTGGAGCATGCGTAGAGGAGAGAGGTGGGTCAGTGCTGCTTGCGCTCCAGACCTCCTCTGGTGGTAGTGGTGGGGTCAGGGATCAAGGGTCAAAGGTAGAGCAGGGTAGAGCGCATAAGTTAGGGTGGGTTGCCGAGGGAATTTTCTCTGCAGCCAGAACCCTGCGTGTTCTGGACAATGTTGTCTGCCAAGGTCCAGAGTAGCCCGTAGTGTTCTGAAACAAGGAACTTACCCAGATGACTCCCGGTGGCATTTGCTCCCCGGTCAGGGAGCCTCTGGCAGTTGGGGAGAAACTCCTGGTGACATCCTGAATCCCTCCCACAGGTCCTCCATCTGCAGCTCGAGAGCCTGGGGCTACATTCAAAGCCCATCGTTGACCGCTTTGTGGAGGCCTTCAAAGCCATGTGGTCCCTGAATGGGCACAACCTGAGCAAAGTGTTCACAGGCAGCCGAGCCCTGGAAGGGAAGGCCAAGGTAGGGGCCGGGAGGGAGGGAGCGCAGGGGCCCACAGCAAGTCTCTCTCATGATCTCATTCCTGACCCATGGCAGGTAGGAAAGCTGAAAGATGGGGCCAGGTCCATGTCGCGTACGATTCAGTCCAACTTCTTTGATGGGGTAAAGCAGGAGGCCATCAAGCTTCTGCTGGTTGGGGACGTCTACAGTGAGGAGTCAGCTGACAAAGGCAGGATGCTCATGGACAACACAGCCCTTCTGGGTAAGAGGGTCTCTACTTGCATGGAAGGACTGGTGGAGGGACTAGGCTAGCCAGCCCCTATGGTCTACTCTCTACTCCAAGATGGCGGCTAGCAGGCATGCCCACCCAGGGTAGCACAGTGTGGGACGCTCCTAGTCTCTGGAGTCTGGGTAAGAGGGACTCTGTTTGCGTGGAGGGACTGGTGTCAGGAGTAGGCCAGCCAGCCCCCATGGTCTACTCTTCACCTCAAGATGGCTGCGGGCAGGCATGCCCTTCCAGGATAGGAGAGTGAGAAGCTCCTACTCTCTGGGCTTCTGCCTAATTGATTTCATTCTCTGACCAGTTGACGTGAACAACTTACACAGCTGTTGCTGTTATTTCCTGGGGGTTGTAGTTTCATACGGCTGCTGCTACATGTACCACAGTGGGTGGTTTTAAAAACAGAAGTTGTTTTCTCACAATTCAGAAAGCTAGCAGTCTGAATTCAACGCAACAACTCTAGGTGAAAGGCTCTCTGTCTGGGGAAAGATCCTTGACTCTTCCAGCGTTCCTCAGTTCCATGGTGATCTTCATTTCTATTCCCCCATCGGCCGTTTGTTCTTGCGTTTCTCTATGTCTCTGTCTGCTCTTTCTATAGCTTGGAAGTGTCCTAAACCTAATCACTTCCAAGTGATACAAAGGCCCACTTTACAGCAATATGACTTTCTTAACATACCAAAGATGCCCTGCCATGGACACAGGGGTCAGGCCTCCAACATCACTCCTGTTTTGTGGGGGATACAGTCGTACCTACACAGGAGTCTGTGTTTTGGGGCCTACACTTCTAACTTTTGGCCTGTGGTCTTTTTCCACACTGAGAGGAAGGGACTCAAGAGGCCTCCAAAAGTCAGTGAACCAATTCAGTGCTGATTCCTTTCAGTGTTAACTCATTCCAGAAACTCTCAGCCAGAATGGGCTCTTGGTCCCATTGGTATGGATCATCTGTTTTGGGAAGTTTCCCACCATGAAGGTGGCCTCCTATTTCTGCTGTGGCTCCTGGGAAACCTGTAGAGATAGAAGAGGGAGAAGAAGGAAGCTGTTGTCTCCTGGTGATGTGGGTACCTTCAGTCTCAGGGGCACGACTATTTTGACTCCATTAAGGAGCTCTGGTAGCGTAGTGGTTATGAACCGCAAGGTCAGCAGTTCAAAACTACCAGCTGTTGCGCAGGAGAAAGAAGAGGCATTCTGCTCCCATAAAGATTTACAGCCTCGGAAACCCTGTACAGGGTCACTATGAGTCGGAACCGACTCCACGGCACATCACAACAACAACAATATCTAGAACTTTCTTTGAGGAAAGTTTAGTGCCATCTTTTTGTTGTTTTTCTAATTTCAATTTTTTAAAAAATCATGGGAACAGCTCTTGAGACCAGAAGAACTAGAGGGTACCCTTCTACCACAACCAGCTGCTCTGAACGGGAGGGGCCACGTTGGAAGGCCCAGGGTAGAATGGGAGAAAAATGTGGACCAAAACTCAAAATTAGGAAGTCTAACTTGTCAGGGACTGTTCAGCCAAACAGATTGTTCCACAAGGGGAACAAGAACCCTAACACCGTGCACACACCTTATATTTTGTTCTGTATCTATAGACTAGCGGATTCAGCTTCCTGGGACAGGGGCCGCTCCTGTGTTTGAAGTTTTGTGCCTTTTTATTCCTCTCCACAGTGACTCCCAGGATCCTGAAAGCTATGTCAGAGCGGCAGTCGGAATTCACAAATTTCAAACGGATCCGCATTGCCATGGGAACTTGGAATGTGAATGGTGGGAAGCAATTCCGGAGCCATATCCTTGGGACCGCAGAGTTAACCGACTGGCTGTTAGACTCACCCAAGCTGTCTGGAATGGCCGAGTTTCAGGGTGAGAGCGGTTTCTTTGGAGAAAACAAAATGCACCTTCCGTTTTCCCCTCAGGTTTGACCTTTGGCTGTGTGGAATTCAATATTGATTTTTTCACTTTGTAGAGCGTTCCAGAACACTGCTTAACAAATTGGCTACTTGATGCATTCTCTTTTCTTTTTTATTTAGTGGACTTACTGCTTTCTAGAGCCAGTTTTAGGTGTACAGAAAGAAACATTGTGCAAACAGCATAGCGTTCCCATTTATCCCTGGTCCACCTGTCACAGTTCCCTTCTATTATTAACATTTCTGTGGCACATTTTTTACAATTGATGGACTGATAGGACTAATTAAAGTCCATTGTTTAGATTCGGGTTCACTCTGTGTTGTCAGGAGTCCTGGTGGCCGAGTGATGACGTGATTGGCTACTAACCCAAAGGTCAGCAACACGAAGCCAGCAACTGTTGTTTGGTTAAGTTCCCGCCTGCTTGGGTCTTGGCAGAGCCCCATCACCAGGGCATTGCCTGTGGATGAGTGATTCAAGTCCAGGGATGTGGGATACTTCCTTTCCGTACCACAGGGGGGCCCTCCCATCTGAGGCTCAGAGCCAGTGGGATTCTCCATGTAGATGGAGCCTTGTTGGTGGAGTGTGGCTGAGGGAGGGGACGTGCGCCTGCTGCCACAGCATCTCTGTCGTTTGCCTGGACCATGTGGGATCCTTGGAGGCTGGAAGTGAAGGGGGTCGCTCCCACTAGAAGTCCACCAGATTCCAGTAAAGGAAGACTAGAGGTTACTGTTACCAGCCAGGTCAAACAGAGGAATGGGAAGTGCTTTATTTGACTTTTTAAATGAACTTGAAGTTGGTGAACCTTGGCGTTCTGAGTTGACCTCTTGGCCCCGACGGAAAGGAATTGGCTTGCTCAGTGTCCCCCTCCTGCGCTGTGGCCAGGTAGGGGGAAGTCTGGACCTGACACCTCCCGCACTGAGTGTCACAGAGCTGGGCCGGAGAGTGATGGGTCCAGTCACAGCCCTGCTAGGGTCAGTGGAGCCGTGACAGGTTTGAGGGAACAGGGCAGGGCAGAATGGTCAAGGAGCCTACGGGCTCACTGTGCTTCCTCCAATCCAGACAAATGCAGGAGCAGATTTCAACAAAGGCCGGCCTTGGGTTTCCTCTGCTCTGGAGGTCAGGATAGTGGTCCCAGGACAGGGCTGTGCCCCTCAGTCTCAGCCCAGCAAACCAGGACTGACTCATTGTGGTTCAGTCAATTCAGCTGGACAGTGAAGAAGAGAGAGAGGACGGATATTCTATGGTGCAGTGGGCAGGGGTCAGATGCGTCACATCTGCCACATGATCTAATGTAGACTTCACAGTGGCCTTGTGAGGGGTGGTTATAGACGCTTCTTACAGGTAAAAAGGCTCAAAGAGGCTCACGGCTGCCAGAGATACACACAGGGATCCACCAAGTGTTGTGTGAGCCTCAAGTAGGACTGGAGGGAGGCGTGTCCAAGTACCTTCCATCTGAGTGGGCTGGGTTGTTGGCTGCAGGGGGCTCCCTGTGAATCAGTCAGGTGACCCAGGCTGTCGTGGTTCTGAGTCCATCTCCTTGCCTGTTTCCTAGATGACAGCAGCCCAGCCGACATCTTTGCTGTGGGGTTCGAGGAGATGGTGGAACTGAGTGCAGGGAACATTGTCAATGCTAGGTAAGTGACCGGCATGAGGGGGCAGCTGGGGGTCCTCAGCAGGGCCTGGCCAGGAGGAGACCCCTGAACATTTCCTGGAGCCATCCTGCTCCTGAATCCTTGGTGTGTAGGCCTGGAGTATCATCTCATTAAGCATACGCTTGCATATGTGGTCTGGAGGTCTTTAGAAGACAAGGACACCTCAGTGACGCAGAAAGTACTAGCAGTGTAGAACTCTCTCTCAGGACACAGGAGCAGAGACCAAATGACTCTGCTATTGGTCGGTGTCCTCTCACAGAAGCACATGTGACTGCCTGCTCTGAAGTCCTCCTCACAGTCAGTTCTGGGCTTGAGCCATTGTCGCAGCCACTGCATCTGTCTGTCTTGTTGAGGCTCTGCCTCCGTTTTGCTGAACCTCTACTTTAGAAGCATGATGTCCTTCTCCAAGGACTAATCTTTATTTACTGATGACATGTCCAAAGTACACAGGACAAAGTCTCACCCTCCTCCCTTCTAAGGAGCATTCTGGCTGTACTTTTTCCAAGACAGATTTGTTCTTTCTTCTGGCGGTCCCTGGTATATATGATATTCTTCACCAACACTCTAATTCAAATGCATTAATCTGGGGATGAGTGTGTGAGTCTGGAGGGTGGGGATCAGCCAGGGAGGGGTCTGTCTTGTTCCCTGGCTTCAGGTGAGAACTCTTGAGTACAAAGAGAAGTTTGTCTCTACTCAACACTCGGTACAAAGGAAAGGATCAAAACCACTGGATTAATATGCGGTGTCAACCTGGCCTTGTTTTTCTTTTTTTAAATATAAAATCACAGACCATAAAATTTGCCATTTAACCATTTCCCAGCCTACATTGATTGCACTACGGTGTTATGCAGCCGTTACCAAACCTTTGTCATCACCCCAAGCAGAAACTCAGTACTCCTTAGTCAGTTGCTCCTCCAAGCCCCTAGTAAGCACTGATCTAGGTTTGTCTATTCTAGGTATTTTCTGAGTGGGATTCCACACAGTCTTTGTGCCTGCTTTATTTCACTCGGCATAGTGTATTTATAGTTCATCCATATCCTAGCATGTGTCCAGAATTCACTTCTCTTTATAGCTGAGTAAGATCCTGTTGTATGGATACACAGCATGTTTGAGTGCTCCCTTCATCTGTTGACAGGCGCTTGGATTGGAAGCTACTGTGAAGAGTGGTGCAGTGAAGTAACTAATGTTCACGTGTCTGTGGAGTCCCCCCTTTAAATCTTTGAAGTAGCATACAGTCAAGAGTGGAATCACTGAGTGATATGGTACTTGAATTGATGCATTTGAGTTACGGTGTTGGAGGAGAATATTTCAAGTACCATGGACTACCAAAGGAACAAACAAATCTGTGTTAGAAGAAGTACAGCCAGAATGCTCCTTTAAAAGCCAGGATGGCTAAATGTCATTTCTCATGTTGTTGTTGTTAGGTGCCATCAAGTCAGTACCGAGTCATAGTGACCCGTGCGCAGTAGAATGAAACACTGCCCGATCCTGGGCCAACCTTACAATTGTTGCCATGCTTGAGCCCATTGATGCTGCCACTTTGCCATTTCATCTCACTGGGTCTTCCTCTTTTTCTCTGACCCTCCACCTTAACAAATATGATATCATTCTCCAGTTACTGGTTCCTCCTGACAATATGTCTGAAGCATGAGTGACAAAGTTTGGCCATCCTGGCCTCCAAGGAGCATTCTGGATGCACTTCTTCCAACACAGATCTGTTTGTTCTTTTGGCAGCCCATGGCACTTTTAATATTCTCCTCCAACACCATAACTCAAAAGCATCAATTCTTCTACGGTCTTCCTTATTCACTGTCCAGCTTTCACACACATATGAGGTTATTGAAAATTACCATGGCTTGGGTCAGGCACACCTTAGCCCTCAAGGTGACATCTTTTCTCTTCAGTCATCTCTCATACATCAGACATATTATCAGGTGGGACCAGTCCCTAGAGAAGGACATCATGCTTGGTAAAGTGGAGAGTTGGAGAAAAAGAGGAAGACCACCAATGATATGGACTGGCACAGTGGCAGCTGAAATGGGCCCAAGCATAGCAACAATTGTGAGGTTGGCTTAGGACCCAGCAGTTTTTCCTTCTGTTGTGCATGGGGTTGCTATGAATCGATACCAACTCAATGGCCCCTAACCACAACAAGACGGTACTTCCAAGGTTAACTTTCCAACAGTAGTTATTTCCTTTATTTCTCGGTTTTTAATCACCATCCTGGTGGGTGTGAAGTGCTACGTCAAGGTGGCGCACACAGCCATGACTCACATTGCGCATCCCTTCACGTATTGACTGGCCATTTCGATATCTCTGGAGAAGTGACTTCTCAAGCCCTTTGCTCATTTTCTAATTGCAAAGTTTGCCTTTTTGTTGTCCCTTTTAACCTTGTTTTTCTCCCTTGAGTCCCAACTTTTTTTCCCCAAGGAACTTTCTGAACAGATAATAAAACCAGTTCAGTTGCGCTCCTGGGAGCAGGGTCCTGTGCTAGGCTCCAGGCGTGAAGGTGGGTGACACTTCAGTGAGTATGATGCCGACAGGTCCTTGGAGTCTGTGACAGGATCCCATTGGAATGCAGCAGGATGGTGGCAGTTCCAGAAGAAGATTCCACTTGGGCTGGAGGAGTTGCTGATGGACGGTGTCCCAACTACTTCCTGTGTTCAGTGCCCTCTCTTCTTGCCCACAGCACCACCAACAGGAAGATGTGGGGAGAGCGGCTGCAAAAGGCCATCTCCCGCTCTCACAGATACATCCTCCTGACGTCGGCGCAGCTAGTGGGCATCTGTCTGTACATCTTCGTGCGTCCCTACCACGTCCCCTTCATCAGGTAAGAACATTTCTGCTGGGAAGCAGGGGACTGTACTCTCTTCATTTTGTTCCGGGGAAGCCTCCTCCTCCTCCTCCTCCCTGCCTCCAGCAGGAATCAGACAAACAATACCTTCAGAGAAACCTCAGCAGAATGGGACATTGTCTCACCAGGAAAAAGTCACTCAAACGTCTGAGTCAGAAAGCATGTTACAAGCACAGCATCACCCAAACTCAGTTGTACGAAAGGAAAGGGCCCCCCCTTGTTAAAATGTCACAGACGGGAAACTCTCTGACCCAGCATTGAATAACTTGGCAGGAAATGCCAATTCTTTTGTGGCTTTTTGAAAAGAATTCTAAGTACAAATTGTGGACAGAGGTTGTACAGCTGCACCCACCCTATTGTTACTGCGCCAAGGTGATAGCTTTCTGAATTTCGGAAAAGGGCATGTGCCCCCGGCCATGAAAATTTGGATTTGTGTGTACAGGGACCTGTGTGCATGTGTGTTTAAGATTTTGGAGGAACTCACTTTTACATTCTGCTTTCTAACAGCCTCATGTTTCCTCCTGGTCCTGTTACATCATTCAAATGACCTCCCTGTTTTGTAATGGTTTCAGTACCTGGCTGTCAGTTGTACTGTGGTGGTTAGCATGTGGCTGTGATGTTGGAATCTCTGCTAGTGGTATTTCCCATAGTAGCAGGCTCACCTGTGGTGGACAGGTTTCAGGGAAGCTTTCAGACTAAGACAAGAAAGAAAAGTCTAGTAGTGGTCTGCTTGCAAACATGAGCCAGTGAAAGTCCTGTGGATCTCAACAGAATACTGTCTGATACAGTGCTGGAAAGTGAGCCCCGTAGGTTAGAAGGCACTCAGGGACACACACCAACACTCAGGAAGGTAACACAGGACCAGGGCACCATGCCCTTCCGCTGTACACAGAGTCGTCATGAATCAGAGCCAACTGGACGGCAGCTAAGAACTCATCCTAATGGCTGATCGCACAATGTCAGATCAGCCTTTTCCTCCTAAATCAAGGAGTATATATGGAAGACCCCCAAGTAAACCCTTGGTATGACTCGTCCAGAAAATGTTTAAGTTGTATCCCTTCTGACTGTGGTATGGTAACCTATAGGAATCCAGTGTGTGGGGGTAAAAGTGAATAATTGTTTGAGTCATGGTAAGGTTAGGGTCAAGGTTAGAGATGAACTTTCCAAAACCCAGACTCAGGTCTTTGACACACACATGCACAAGTTGGCTTTTAGTGCAAGTAGGAGTCTGTTTTGAACTAAAGGCAGTTTGAAGCCACCTACCAGCCCAGCATAAATAGTTGGTTGTCTCCTTGTCTTTGAACTGTGCTTTGCGTAGAAACTGCGTGAAGCAGGAGTCTGTGACGTGACACTTATACGCTTCTTCTGCTGCCATGCCAACATGGGGGCCAAAAACAAGATGCGACGTGTTCTGAGCTTCCTTGGGGGCTCTGTGGAGGACAGAGTGCATCATAATTGGGGGTATCCCAGAGATACTCTGTACCTCCCATAGGGAAACATGTTCCATCCTCTTAACGATGGAAGCCATGGTCGCCATGTTGGATGTTCTACGAGATGTGACTCAACCAGATTCTCCGAGTTGAGTCCACTCTGCAGCTGGAGTTCTTCTCTAGAGCAAGACAGGTTTCTGTGTTTCCTTGCAGCTGCCAAGAAACCAACTAAATGTGTTGATTCTTGCGTTCCAGGGACGTGGCCATTGACACGGTGAAGACAGGGATGGGAGGCAAGGCGGGGAACAAAGGTGCCGTGGGCATCTGCCTCCAGTTCCACAGTACCAGCTTCTGCTTCATCTGTAGCCACCTTACAGCTGGCCAGTCCCAGGTGAAGGAGAGAAACGAGGACTACAAAGAAATCACCCAGAAGCTGAGCTTCCCAACGGTGAGAGGTGGGGCTGGCTCAGGGAGCTGCTGGTGCTGTGGACTCCTGTCGGCTCAGCCCCACCGGGAGATCCTGAGGTGCTCGTGTGTGCCTGGCATTGGGGACACAGGATGGGGCTTTGAGGGGTGCAGGAGTCCTTTCATGGAGACGACTTGGGCTGTTCCGTGCCCCTCTTAGCACATTTCCTGGGGGTTCTACGCCCCTTAGAAATCCTGGTGTTGTGCTGTGGGTTAATGCGCTGGACTTCAAGGTCAGTTTGAAAGGCATGGTCCAGTGGCTCAAGCTCACCAGTCGCTCCTCAGAAACCCTATAAGGTCTCTGTATGAGTTGGTACTGACTCGATGCCCCTTAATAAGTTTCGTGGGTATGTTTTCCGAATAGAACAGGGGAAAAAAACCAGTGTGCCCATGCTTTGTCCAAGCTGACGAAGAACATTTGATTTCAAAGAGTGTAAGAGCTTCATTTTCTTGCCATTCACAACCTTTACATTTACACTCTGTTCAGTGTGGCTGACATGCCCCGGAATTTGTGATCCAAGCCTGGCTGGATGTTCTGATAATGCGCATAATGCTGCCCTCTAGTGGTAGACCGAGGTTTCCACCCTGAAAAAGAAACGCGTTCTAACTCCTGAGGACCCCATGGGTGTCAGGAGTAGAACTGTGCTCTGTAAGGTTTTCCGTGGCTGTGAATGTTCAGAAGTAAATCATCAGGCCTTTCTTCAAGGCACCTCAGGGTGGCTCGAACTTCTAAACTTTCTGTCAGCAGCTGAGCGCATTAATTCTTTTTTTCTTTAACTTCTTGTGAATTGGAGGCGTGGTGTGGTACTGTAAGATAAGCACTGGACTGCTCATGACAAGCAGCGGTTCAAACCCACCAGCCACTATCAGAAACCTTATACAGGGGTCTCTATGATGCTAGGCCAACAGCACATAACAACACTGTGAACTGAGTGAAGGTTTATAGATCAGTTCATCAGTTTGACCTTCAACACCTCGTCCTCTGTTTCAGCTCAGTGACTGCAGTCCCTTCATGTCACAAGAGTGATCCCAGTTCCTCCCTGTGGTTCTAGTTTCCATTCCTCCTCCTCTCCTCAGCTTCTGAATTCTGTCCTTGGATAAATGCTGCCCTTTCGTTCTCAAATGGTTGACCATTCTACAGTGTGCAAACACCTCTTTGTTGTTGTCCCGCATGTAGACCTATCTATTACTTGGCTGAAAATGAAGTCAGTGGGCCAGGGTTTCTTTTTCAAATTAGGATTTGAATGTTCTCCGTCTGTGTAAAGATGATGCAGTTGGTACCCTCTGGGCCTGGAGCACCCAAGCCCCAACTGTTACAAGTAGTGGGGACAGACTCCGTGTGTCCGACCACAGGCCCTTGTCTGCCAGTCACTCAGCTCTTTCCTATGAGAGCAGAGCTGCTCAAGACCTGACCAGCCTCCTAAGGACTCAGTAATACGTACTGTGATCCTTGAAATACAACAAGGGTCATTTTTATTTCTTGAGTTAAAACAGAAACCAACAAATCTTTTGGGAAATTTTCAATTTCTACTTGTCCAGATTACGTGTGGCGCTGTGAGTTAATGCACTGGACAGCAAGGTCGGTTTGAACCGGAAGATTCAAGGTTCGAGTCAGAACTGACTTGATAGCACTTAACAACAGACTATGGAGAACATTATGAATTTTTTTTTTTTTACATCAGTGTGATTTTGTTGAAAAGGCCAATGAATAAAATGCTTGAACTATTTTGCTGCGGAGGTAGGGAGGTCCAGCACATCTCACTTTAAAATACTATTTTGCTATTAATAAACTTGGAACACATTAAAGATAACTTAAACATAATAATAATAAAATCATAAAGGGTTCCAACTATAGCTGTTAGGATTCTGTATAGCTGTGCTGTCCAGTGTAGAAGCTGCAAGTCTCTCTTTAAGTTTCATTTCATTAAAATCAGATTAAGTAGAAACCTGGCCGCCTCAGTTGCATTGGTTCCATTTAGTGTGTTCAGTAATTGTGTGGCCAGTGACTACCGTATTAACACATAAAGAACGTGCCAGTTGTTGCAGAAAGTTCTGAATACTCATGGTATTTGGGTGTGATCATTTGCGTCCTTTTTGTCCAGATTATAACTGTGGGGCGGGGAGAGCAGAGTGCTACACAGTATAGCAGAACCTTCAAATCTGAATTCAAGTCTCCAGCAGACACCAGCTGTGTAGCCTTCACAAGATAGTCTCTGAACTTTTTTTTTTAATAAAAGAGAGCTGATGGTAACTGCTCCCCAAGGCTGTTCCTGAACAGACTTCGATCTTGTAGGTGTTGGAGCGCGGCAGTTGCTGTCACTGTTAACGTTCCTGGGGGGGAGAGAGGACTCGGAGCAGGTGGGGAGGGAGGAGTGACTAGATGAGAACAAGATGGGAAATTTCAGAGTGAAATGTGCAAACTCAGTGAAGTTTTCAATCCTGACCACTGATAATGTATTTCTTTTTTTTAAATTTATTTAATGTTTTATTGTGAATTATGTGATAGTTTACATGGGAGAACATTAGTTTTACATTCATTCTATCGTATATCGTCTCATTGCCATAGTTACAATCCCCTCCATGCAATCCTTCCCCTGTACCCCCCCAGGTCTTCAGCACACAGTTGCTCTCCCTCTCTGGATCTAAAGTCTCCAGGGGCTCCATCGCTCCACGTCATCATCTTGATAATGTATTTCTTAAACATTAGAAGTTTGGGCAGTTCGTTTTTCTTAACGCTGAATGTTTGGGAAGTTCTTCTTAGCATGCAGCCAGTTCACAGCATGTGTCAGGTACTGATGCTCCCGGCCTGCATCAACAATCATCCTTTCCTCATTCGAGTAGGGAGCTTTCTCCAAACCACTCAACAGAATTGTTGTCTGAGATGAAAAAGCAAGTACCGCCAAACTCTCCAGATAGGTTTATGGGATTCATGGAAAATGACAACGTTCTTGTGGAAGACCGCTTGTGTTTTTAAGTACCATCTTAAAGAGAATTTTTGCTTTTGCTTGTTGTCTGTCTGGTCACCTTATTTTTCTCTCCTCTGACACCTTTTTTGTAAGACGTAGTTTAATGGTTTCCATGTTCTTTGTAACTTTAGGGAAGAAGTGTGTTTTCTCATGACTACGTGTTTTGGTGTGGTGATTTCAACTATCGCATCGATCTTACATATGAAGAAGTGTTTTATTTTGTTAAACGCCAAGACTGGAAGAAACTTCTGGAATTTGATCAGCTACAGCTACAGAAATCGAGTGGAAAAGTAAGTTGTACTTTTAGAATACTTTTTAAGCAGGTGCTTAAATGGAATGTTGTTATTGTCATTAAATGCTGTCAAGTCGATTCCAATCTATAGCAACCCTGTTTAGGGTTTCCGAGGTGCTGCTGGTTAGCTTGAACCACTGACCTTGTGGTTCAAAGTGACTTTGCCGTCCAGCGCATTAACCCGCAGCGCCATGCCAGGACTCCCTCTATGGAATAATAGCTATTAAATGTAGTTTTCAGTAAATTCCATTTCATGAGTGGATTGTACGGCATTACCACTCCTGATATTGTGGGAAGCAGGTGTGACACATGAACTTGGAGAAACACAAGCGTTCGTCCACACACACTTCCTGTGTCTCCTACAATGGGCTCTGTATTTGCGTGTCTTCTCTAGGCAGGAGGAGCCGCCACTGCGATGGGCTCCATCTGCCAGCGCTTGAGCGCCCTCCCATGGTCATAGGTGGATTTGTTGTCCTTACTCTTTAAGGCAACGTGAGCCTCTTCTTTCTCCTGAGAAACCACCAGTGCGTTTGAACTACTGACCTTGTGGTTAGCAGTCCAGTGCTTATCCTACAGCTTCACCAGGACTCCTCATTAGCATTATTGTTAAGGACCAAGGAGTCAGTTCTGACTCATAGCACCTTATAGGGTTTCTAAGGAGCTTTTTTATTTTCCTAAGGTGGGTTTGAACCTCGGTCTTTGCGGTTGGCAGTCCAGCACCACCCCAGGATGATTATATCAGATCATAAAATGGAGGGGTCATTGTGTAATACTGAGAGTTATGGCCCAGCCACAGTCTTTCCTCAGAAACCCTGTCCAGGGTTGCCATGAGTCAGTACAGACTTGACGGCACGTAACAACAACACATTGACACATTTCTGCGGGGTACAGTTCAATCCATAGCATTTCACCGTTAGCCTCCAAACCTTTATGTGCTTGCCACATGTCAAACACATCCACTCCACCATTTACCCTTTGAGAATAGACCACTCTGGAATATGTTTTATGTGTGTGTTTCTGTCTTGGCATTTCACACCCAGGAGCTAGAACTGAGTGGGTCTTGTGATTTCTTTTCCTTCCAAATAGATTTTTAAAGACTTTCATGAAGGAGCCATTAACTTTGGCCCCACTTACAAGTACGACGTTGGTTCAGCCGCCTATGATACAAGTGACAAGTGCCGGACGCCGGCCTGGACAGACAGAGTGCTGTGGTGGCGGAAGAAACACTCATTCGACAAGACAGGTGAGGGAGGCGTGCAGGATCGAGGGCCGCTGGAGAGCGATGGGAAGCCATGCTGTTCGGCCCTGTGCTCTTTGGTGTATGAACACCTGACGTAACATTCCAAAGCTGGTAGGCCTGAGTCATTCCAGGTGCGAGCCCGGAGCTTTGGGTTCTCCTGTGTCTCTCTCATGAGGCAGCTGGTGAGCCTCCAGTGGCCCTGCTCTGGACTCGCCCATCACTGGGGGCCCCTCCCCCCACTCCCAGCTTTCATGGTTTTCACCCAGCCCAGTGTCTCCACTGTTGAATCCATTCTGACTGGTAGTGAGCGTGTGTAGGGCTTCCGAAGCTGTGACCCTTGACCGGAGCAGAAAACCCTGTCTTTCCTATCGATAGGAGCCCTGGTGGTGCTGTGGGCTGGGCATCAGGCTACTAGCCTCAAGGTTGGCAGTTCAAACCCACCAGCTGCTCCCCAGGACAAAGGATGGTGTCTGCTCCGGTAAAGGTTGGCATTCTCGGAAATCCCACACAGGGTCAAGATGAGTCAGAATCGCCGCAGGGGCAGGGGATTTGATTTGGTTTGCTTTAGTCCTACCAAACTCGAATCTTGTCTGCTTAAGGTCCCACTTCTAAATTAAATGGGAGCTAGACACTAAAGGGAGAGTCTGGATGGTGCAATGATTAATGTTCTCGGAGGAAAGGTCTGAGCATCTCCTTGTGAGAAACTCCCATGGAGAAGCCTGCTCTGACCTGAGTCAGACTCAGCCGGATGGTGATTGGCAGATGCTGTAAAGGATGAGAGCTTTCATTCATTAGTTCACACCTGTGTTTTAAATGACTCTCGATGCCCAGCTAAGGACTGAAGCGTATTTGAAATTAGAACACCTGTCCACAGTACATAAGCACTGGACTGCTAACTACAAAGTCAGCAAGATGAGGTGCCTGCTCTCAAAGATTTATAGCCTCCAAAGCCCTATTCGGGCCACTGTAATTCGGAACCCACTTGATGGCGTAGGGTTGTTTGGTTTGGTCCACACTGTGCGTAAGGAGCCGTGGTAGCACCTTGGGTTAAGTGTTGCATTGCTAAAGTCAGCAGTACAAACCCACCAGCCACTCCCTGGAGGAAAGATGAGGCTGTTTGCTCCTGTAAAGACTGACAGTCTCAGGAACCCTGGGGAGCAATCCTGCTCCTACCCACGGGTTCACTGTGAGTTAGAATTAACTGGACGACCTACCGAGGGCTTGGGCCCTCAGTTCATGAAGTGACACTTTTCTGGGAAGATGTTTGCAGCAGACTGAGAAAACATTCTCACCCAGAGGCAGTAGTGAGCAGCCATCTGGCCCTGAGACCCGTTCTGACCTCTGGCTCCCTGTACTCACAGAGCAGCCGTTGGGATCCCTGGGGCCTCGGAGCACAAGTCAAGTCTCAGGTCCTCGGTTTGCCTGCAGGCCAGGACACTGAGCGCTCATGGTCTTTAACCAGCCCATGTCGTCCACCCTTAAAACAAAACTCAAAGCCACTGTCATCGAGCCGATTCTAACTCACACTGACCCGTGTCTAGGATTTCCAAGATGTGACTTCACAGGAACTGACCCGGACGTCTCATGTTTCCTAACTGGCTTCTGCTGGTCTCTGTAATCTCCATTAGAGAGGATCGTAAGCCCCCCATCCCTAAAGCAACACCCCAGGCTGGTTTCAAGGAGGTTGTAGGGTGCCTGAGATGGAGACTAGCTGCTCTATGTAGTAGAGCCCAGCACAACTGACTGCACCGAGTCCATCCCAACGCCCGGTGACCCGTGTAGAAGTTCCGAGACTGCAAGTCTTTACAAAGCAGATAGCCTCACCTATCTTCTCCCGGGAGCAGCTGGTGGGTTGGAACTGCCGACCTTTCAGTTAGTGGTCCTGTAGTTAAATTACAGCGCCCTGCAGGGGTACCCTGACAACAGCATTCATGTTCACTGATGGAATTCTGTGTTCTGTGTGGATCTCTGAATGGCACTTCGGTGAGCAGCAGGCGAGTTCAACCTCTTAGACCATGATGCCAACGTCCAGCACACCTGGTCTCCTGGGGGCCTCATGTACTATGGCCGGGCAGAGCTACAAGCATCTGATCACAGGTACGGCCCCTCTGGTGGGAGAAGGCGGACTTGCCTCCTTTCCGTAGACTACTAACTGACCAGCCAGTCCCTAAAGGGTGCATGTGGGCTCATCACACAATAAAGGACACAAGGAGAATGTGTCTGCCCACCCGCCACTGAGGATTAATACGTTAATGTCTTTTCATCACTAAGGAG